ATGCACTGTACTATTGAATATATTGCAAGTAACACAAATGTCAGCAAATTAAGAGTGAGTATGCATACTAGTAGTGAAACCAGAGTGGAGAAGTTACTTAAATCTTTAATGTTTTGTATTTCCTTATAAAGCTTATCGATGATGACTCTTAGAAAGTGTTATAACTAAATGTACCGCGCATAACCAAACATCATATTATATTATAAAGCACGGCGATTTCGGGTTACGAATTCGCCCATTACAGTGTTATTTATTTAGTAAATTGAGCAACGCTATAACATATGTGAAATAGATTCATGTCAACGTAAAGAACTAAATGAATAAATTATATGTTGTTAAGGAATATAAGTTCTTTTAAACTAATGAGATATGATGTTCTATAACTTTCTACATAAAAGTTCATCTAAATGCTTCGCTGACTAAAAAGCTTGCCATAATTAACCCAAACTTTTGCGTACATTTTTTGTTTTAAACCCACCTATGTATCCAAATAAGTGTTTGTCCTAAAATAATGTGCATTTCTTTGGAAGTTAAGAGGACAAAACTAAATTTTCAGCCATATATATATATATATATATATATATCAACTCTGACAACTGACTTGTCATACAGAGATGTTGCAGTGACATGTGACTATGACATTTTAGGGTTACGTTGTTTTCTGGATAATCGATAAATTACCGTTTGTAAAACAATACTACCCTGGAAGATATCATTAAATACCGGAATAATTATGTTTAAACAGAGCTGAAAAACATATTATTAGTATTTAGACTAAGAGATATTAAGGCGACGACGCGTTAATAAATCTACCTTCCAGCCAAACACTAATAATAAAAATACGTCGTTAAACACAACGATACTTTAACATGCTATTTCCTACTAAATAACGAAAATGAGATTGGAAAAAGTCGACTACTGATGTTAGCAACATATTTTATGTATATATCTTTGTTCAAAAACTTCGGAAAATTTATTTTATGGAATGCGCTAATGTAATACGTTATTTTTGAATTGTTGTTTCAAACATAAAAATACTGAATGATTCGAGAAGAATAAAGGTTACTTCAGCTGTAAATTATTTTGAATAGTTGTTATTAAAACTCTTAATAAACAGAATAAGGATTTATGAAGCTGAATTGTTGATAATGACAAATAAATTACAAGCACAGGTGGCTTCATACATATTTTTTTTCATTAGTTCAGAAGCGCTTATTGTGAAATTAGAAATTTATGGAAGGCTACTTATAGGCACTGATTACTAGTGGTCTTATTTTCTAGTCAGATTTCATTTTTAAACTTTTAATTGATTGAATTATGTTTCTATTAATCTTATATTTGAAACAGATAGCTGAATCCGCCTGTATCTCTTCTACTCAACGTATTTATACAAGCAACGTAAATGGACTTAGAAATTTCACAAATCGATGCAAACAATGCCCAGATTATAACGCGAACAACATTTTGTAAAGAAAGCATCATTTATGTTCTTGAAATTATTATCAATTATTATTATTTTGCCGTTTTACAATTTAGTGTTCAACCAGAAACTGTACGTAACTTACTTAAGTAATTAATTTTTATTCAGCTATGTTGACTTTATTTTTTGATGTATGCAACGTTTTCGTATAATGATGAGTGAAAGGATTTGATTCGTTAGACTCAGTAAAACAATTGACTAATTATTTTCTACTGCAAACCCCTTCTAACCCAAAGATGTCTTTAGAATTTGTGTAGAAAACAGCTACATCAATTGATGCAAAATTTAACTTTGGACTGATTATCATTATAGATTGATATTCAAATGTTTCATTATTTATAATGTACCTCCAATGAAAATTTTACGGTGCTGGTAGAATAACATAAACAATGTAACGAGCAGAACATCTGGTTTAATAAACCGTTACGCGAAATGAATTAAAAGCAGTTTACAACAATTATAAAAACAAATCACCAATCCACTTCGCTTACAAATTAGTAAATCCCAGAACTGTTATATTGTATTCACAATACACTTGCGCAATTCAGAAATCAGGACCCAATTATTTGGAAGATATATGTTCAAAACTGTTTTAAAATAATCTAAGTGAATGAGGAGTCTTGGTCTAGTTCATCAGGCTAAACGTTAGGATTATTTAAGCTTCAATTGCTCAAATTATTTCAAATAACATGTGTTAATTTTGTCTGAAAATTCCTTTTATTAAGAAAAATCCAACAATGGACTGCCAAAATTAGAGCATATTTAATTATACAGTTCAAGGTGCTCGATTATTCTTATTCACTGATTGAAGTATGCTTGATAAAATGTAGTCTATAATATTCTTTTTAGACAGACAGATTTATGAAGAGAAATGAACTTGCAGGACAAAACCACCAAAATATCCTGCTACCACTTGAAAATTTTACATTAGTAACCGAGCATTTAAGGGACAAATTTTAGGGTTGCATTAGTGACATTAAAAGGGACCAAATCCTAACCAATTTTTATTGCTTTATCATCAAAAAAATTAGCGAGAACTAACAAAATGTTAGCTACATAAATAATATTAACAGACATTATTGCTTAAGCAGCAATATTTATTTCCAAACTTAATATCAGCTGGTCAATGCTCTGTTTACCTAGTTGACGTTTATTATTGGATATAATAATAACTGTTCATTTTTTCCAATAACGTATAAAATTGATTTAGACAGTGAAGGTTTTCCTTTTCTGTTTATTTATTGAGTAAATGAAAGAAAAGTAATTGTTTCTCGTAGTTATTTTTCAGTAATAAATACCAACTAAATGTATATTGATCAGTTGAATGAAGACACGGGTAGATGGTGTGAATGAAGTTAATACTTATAACTAAGTTTAGGTCTGTTGACTCAGACTATCATTTAAAGCAGTTAGCTACGGAGCAGGTGGTTTAAACTTATTATTGATGCTCTGTCATTACTTTGTGTTTCACCTATTAAACTGTAAATATGTTTACTCAGACAAACCAGTCATTAATCAACCTGTGCATATGTATTGCCAGAAATAGTGTATAACACTTATTACAAAGTTTAAAAAAATTATCGACCATTGTTTTGTTTCCATAAACTAACACAAAAGAATAAAGAAATAAAATCAAAAACAAACTCTAGATTATCAAGTAATCAAGAGTGGATATCATAACACGAAAAAACTTAAATGGATTTTCTTTAAATAAACGAAACTTTCTACAAAAATATTCTCTTGCTTTATTTCACTGTTTAAAGAATAGCTAAATTCAATTATTCAAACGTCAAACGCTGGCGTAATCTTGAAATATACTTACTACGACAAACTTTTAGCTCAACTAATCACAAGTTAATTCGAATTCCACAAACTAGATATTTTCATTTCCTTTTAAAATAAGCTAAGTCAAGCTTAATAATAAAAAATGATCATTCTGAATCAGGGATGGTGGTAAAACATGTACGGCCACTTAAAGTTTTAGCTGTGTGATAAGATATCTACTTAAACCGTGAACCAAAATGCATTTGTCAAAGATTCCAAATCAATTATTAAGCAAATCTAGGCACATTTAGTCATCGTAATATTATCAATGTCTTTTGGGTTGTCAAAGGTATATATAGTGTTCTGTACAACAAAATATGAAATGAATATGGACACAAACCATAAGTGATCAAAGGAGAAAGTAATACAAAGCAAGCAACATCATTCAAAATATACTTTATTGCATCACATTTAGTGCACTACGCATTAGCAAACTATTCATTCTTTCATAAAAGATTAAAATAGTGAGTGATCTAAAACGTATTTATACTTTTGCAACAAGACATTTTGAATTTGGAAGGAATTCATACATTTGAAGGGTTCGTTATTATAAAGATCAGTGGTCAGAAGTTCTGTGGATTAGGTCAACTAACTGTTCGTTACAAGTTATTAGTTCTTATTAACCGAAGTAACACATAATTCAATAGTGTAATCTGTTTTATTGCAAATTCCGTCTTATAAATTCCCTTCGTTAGTATGATAATTCCCATATATCCACATAAATATTACTGAACATTAAACCGAATAAAGATCTATTTGAAAACGATATTGTTTGCTTATATATGCAGTTTTAATTCATAATATAGAAATTCATAATATATCACTGCATTTTCAATAAGCTACCTATTCAATTCCTTTTCAATAAGGTACGCCTATTGAACTGAAAATTTAAAATAATGTATTTAATTGGTAAAATGTGATACAAGGCATGAATTCATTTTTATTTCCTTTCGTATCTGTGTAAACTTCCAACAATTACACAAACAAGATTAAATAAATTATATTCAAATTCTTTTCAGACTGTGAACATATTTGATCATTGGAATTTCAATGAAATAAATAAACCGATTTAAAGAATATTACTTTTACGAGCAATTTATTACATAACTTTGCTTAATAAACAGAGAGAACATAGTCTTTATAATATACGAGTAATTCCTTGTCTAAGATTTATCTTTTCTTCTCTTCAATCATTTATCTATATATTCTCCTTTTCGCTTCTCATATTTAACTCCTATGTTCCTAAGAATGGTCCTGCTTCACTCTAGTTTATTTTTATTATCATCAAAATTTTTCCTACCCGTACTTATTGATTATTACTCATACATCTCCATTTCAACTTGGCAATACTCTTATCGACCATAGATTTCTGATTTTTTATAAATTACCTTATCCAATAATTATTTGTTTATTCCAAAAAATTAGTCGATTTTGACATAACTAGTCATTTTCAGTAACACATACAACTACTCGACCCTTACTTTATCATACATATGCAAAATGTTGAAAATAAACTCATCAAAAAAGGATTTATCCGCTGAATGAGTTATTTTCTAAAGTTATTTTTACAATTTTAGCAATATATCATATACTATCATAGAATTTAAACTTGCTCACTTTATTCAATGTATATTGGCTTATTTTAAATTACACCAAATATAAATATATAAGAAATGATAAAAAATGAGGAACTCACATTAGGTAAGACTTGCCAATGTTTATCAGGTGGTGCTGCTTTCGTTTCAAGTTCAATAGGCAAACCATTTATGGCTGGTTTCTTTTTTGGTCCTTCAGATGCTACAGAAACATCTGCTGATTCTCTGGTTGAACTTCTACCTGAATCGTGCTGATCATCTGGATATCTTTTCAAATGTTTTCCCTCAGATACAATATGTGGGTTTTCATCTGTTGGAGTTTTATTTGTCTCGTCTCTTGGATAGTTATAGGCATCTCTTGTTAATTTCTCTAAGTATAACTCTTGCTTACAAAACTGAGGTCTATAGGTTTCATCAGCCGTTGGTGTTAGGGATCCTTCTGATGGACTAACATCAGTTTCATTTTGTCTTTGTTGAATATTAGTCTGTGACTCATTTGATAATGTTTGTAACTCTACATCAGGTGACATTAAACCTGAAGAATAAGCGGTAGTTGAATCATCTTTTCGACGTTTTCTTGAGGGAGAAAATAATGAACCCAAAGATAATGTACGCAGAAATGTGAAAGGTTTGCTTTTTGATTTCGTCTCATTTCCAGAAGATAATGTGGAGCCAGCTGTTAATGTAGCGGATTTCTTTTCCATCGTCCATCTTGTTAACCTATTGGAAGATGAAGATGACGGCTTTTCTGAAATATCTTCTTCACTATCCGACCGATGAAACATACGTGGTAATGTGGAACAGCCTCTTTCATTTGAACTACCGGTCACCGGTGTCCTACTCTTACTTGATTTTCGCTTCACACAACGTAGCATTGGAAAGGAAAGTTTAAAAACCCGATGTACAGAGAAATTTGGAAATGATTAAGGAATGAATGTAGCGGAATTTGATATGACTTGGCTAAATTATTAGTACACTATCGTCATTATTGTTTGTTTCTTCACAATATATCATAACTAACATGAAGTAGCAAGCATACAAACTTGTTTCTGTAAACTTCACTAAAATGTTCTAGCAATAAAGCATTTAAATTAATTGAGTTGAAAATTTGAAAAGATAGTTTATCATGACGAAAACAAGAAGGCACTCTACATGAAAGTATGAAATTTTGATGACTAAGTAATAGAACAACAAGCAAAGTGAAAACAAAATAATAACAAAACTATGAAGTAATATTAATCGATATTGTCTTCACAATTTTTCGACTCAACTATATAAAATAATATTATGTATGAGGCACTAATAATGATTCTCACTTGAGTAAAACGTATTTGTGCAGTGGTGTTGACTGTTTGAACAGACTGCACCGGGTTCAGTAAAAGATAAAGGGGACGAGCTCTCAATTCCTCCAGATTAATATGCTTGGTCTGAATATACGGGAAACGATCACTTTGTAAAATGAATTTGAAGCTTCAGATTTGTAATTCAAGTATTCTTCGGAAATTGATTCTCATTTTCTGATCAATTCCCTAACTGACCAATTAAAATTAAGTAATTATCCATTTTTAGAACTGAAAATTTAGTTGGTTGAAATTTTCGGGCTATGCGCTAACTGTTATGGTCAATATCTGTCTGTCCACTTTGTTTCTCTGCGGATTACGTCGAACTAGGTGGCATATGGTTGATATATGTCTAGATTCAAATAAACAATCATGGTAGTCTTATTATCATTATTTTCATCACGAATCAATATGTGTCAAATTACTAGGATGCTGTTTAATTATTTTCTCAGACTTTAAACTATATGATCCCATAATATGTTTTAACATCAAGGTACAAACATTTTGCAGCAATAGGGATTGTTCTAAGGAAGGTGACTTGACATTATCAAGCTCAAGTATTTGATAACTGAGGAGGAAAGTAATGAACTATGTTGTTAATATCAGAAAGTACAATTTATGTTATAATCACAGTATTATTGACAAATTTCGTGTCTTCGAATGTTTTTTAGTGAATGTTTCCGTCATTTAGATTTACATTTGCACATAATCTGTAATAAAGTAAACTGAAAAGAACTACTGGAGAAGAAATGATAATTCTGGCTAATCAATTATATGAATGCAAAACATGTATTTGATATGAAGTTGAGACTACAATTTATGGACGACCTTTGAGCGACGCCAGAGTAACTTTGAAAGTGTCCACCTAACAATTACGACGAAATTAGGGGTATAAACCAGTGTGGGGAATTAGTATTATGATTTAAAGTTGATGGTTAAGGTAAGAATTAGATTTGAGGTTTTCATCACGAACTGACATCAACTATAATGCCAAAACTTTATTTATTCAGATGGATGAGTGAATTTCTCGCCAAAATTCGAGACGTGTCATCCTATATTTTATTGGTTCGTCCATAAATTATAGTCTTGCTGATGTGAAAAACAGCCATGGTTCATGAACTCAGTGGTTAAGCTTGTGAACCAAACAATACGTCAGTCAATCAGTTTGAATAGCTCAGTAGGAACGTCTCAACTACGAAGTTGAGTCACGCTGGTTTGAATACCACATGGAACATCACTTCGCTCAAGATTACATGTACATCTAGATGACGGCTACCAACTATCATGGCATGTAGGTCCGGGGTTTTCTGCTAACAAAACCCAACTTATAATGAAGATGATCCTTAGAATATTGTTGTGAGTAAGCCGCTTGTTAACATGAAAAACTGGACAAAACAGATTACGTCTCCAAGATGAAATCCATCTTGAGCGACCACATAAGGTTCAAGTTAGACAAAAGTAACAAAGACTTAACTGATTCCACTGAGAAAAGAATCACCAAAGTACTCAGAAATCTGAAAAAGAAGATGATCGATAATCCTACTTACAATAATCTACAACCTCATGGGTCTCATTTACCCCACATGTATGGATTGGCAAAAATACATAAACAAGGTTATCCTCTTAGACATATTTTTTCAATAGTCAATTCACCATACCATAAAGTTGCACGATGGTTGGCAAATAAGTTAGAACCATTGCGTCAACGATTAGCCGCTTATACACTAAAGGATTCGTTTGTATTTGCTAACAGCATGAATCACATAATTATTGCTGGTAAGTTTATGGTTTCTTTTGATGTGACATCATTGTTTACAAAAATACCACTTCTTGAAACCATAGACATAATTTGTCAGCATTCTGATATCCTACCTCTACCAGCACCAGAATTCAAACGACTGTTACTCATTTGTACAAAAGATGTTCAGTTCCAGTTCAAACTATATCAAATACAGACAAAACGACGGTGTAGCAATGGGAAGTCCGTTAGGTCCTGTCCTAACAGATATCTTCATGGATAACCTCGAAAGAACCAAGCTCAAAGGAGTGATTGATGAAATGATGTATTATTCAAGGTATGTTGATGATACATTCATCGTATGTAATAACCAACAACATGCAACAAATCTGCTAAAGTTTTTCAACGAAGCCCATCCAAATATCCATTTCACTATGGAACATGAAAAAGAAAACAAGTTCCATTTTCTCGATATCGCGATAAAACGAAGAAAGGATGGTACAGTTCAATGTTTAGTTTATAAAAAAGACACATGGATTGAAAATTATCTAAATTTCAATAGCTTTGGTCTAATCAGTTACAATAGGTCACTGGTCAAAACACTGTTTCACAGAACAGAAAGAATATGTACTGCCGATACACTAGAAGAGGAAGTTATGAATGTTAAAAAATGTTTAAAGAATAACGGATACCCACTGAAATTTATTGAGAAATATGGCAAACGTGAAGATAAAAAACCCAACGAAATTACAGCGAATAAAAAGCTTATTTTTATTCAACTTAAATTCAAAGGTGATAATGTCACAGGATCAATCAATAAGAGACTAAAAACTGCACCGACAAGAAATTATCCTGCAGCAAAATTGATTGTCCTGTCCAAAACAACATGTTCTTTGACACAATCAAAGGTCGACAAGTATCCCTTTCATGTTACCACCAACTGTGTATACAAATTCATATGTATCTGCCAAAGCAGTTACAGTGGTAGAACAGAAAGGAGAGTCTACGTCCGCTTCAAAAGAACATATTCCGGAAAGTTTAACATCGAATGAACTGAAAGCATTCAACAGTGCCATCGCAAGATATCTTTTTGACACAGGACACGAAGTCGATACACTGAAGTCCTTCAAGGTGATTAATAGACAATCAAGCTCCAACCTTCTTAAATTTGCCGAAGCATTAGCGATCAAACGTCTAAAACCAGACCTATGTATACAAAAAGGGACAGTAATAAATCTTTCTTTACCCTGGTAACAATACCCCCCTTTTTTATTCATTTATTTCTATTTATTTATTTATTTATTGCGTCATTATTCCAACTCTTTCTGAAGTTTAAATTACATCATACATAACTGACTGATTTCAATTCATATTTTCTTTATTACCATTAATCTATTTTCATGAGTTCTAATCACTATTTCAATGTTCCGGAACTTTCCCTCTCAAACTCTATTTATTCGAGACAAAATTTTACGACCTCATTAACTCTATCGGAATCTTCGCTACACCATGATACATTCATTCGTCCTTATTCACCCTCTTATGTATAAGTATGTCAATATCTGTAATAATGTTGAATTTTAAATATTTTAGGTTGTAAGCAGCTGATGAGAACCTGACGAAATAAAATGAATTCATATTATTCTAAACCGATCTTTGTTCTTACTCTCGTTAAGATAATAAAGGGAACTATGTCTATGAAAAAAACTGGAACACATGAATAGGTATGTCAGAACCAAAAAGACTCTATGTTTGTAAGATTTATTTAAAGAGCTTTTTTATGACTATCTTGACGCTATTACATCATAACACAGGGACAGAATTATTGTTTCCCCACACATTTTTCCATAATTTATTGAAACAAGTAAATATCTCTGATATTTCCTTCCACGAGTACTTATAAGTTTTACTTGATGTACCCTGTGAAGTGTATCAAATTCATTTTGCTGATCAGAAGGGATTTCAACGAATAAACTGAACCATTCAATATTATTAAGGTCAGGTGCATTAGAGATGAGGCAGCTTATTTGTTAGCATCAGCAGCTGTCGTCAGAAACTAGGCTGTTAGTATCTTTATGTTTATTTATTTAAATAATTATAAAAGTCGACTTTATTGATGCATGCTTAGTGGATAATAGCAGTAATATAAGCCTTTTGCAGTTTACTTAGGTCAATATATATATATTCACCAGGATAGAATTTAGCATTCTTCAGGATTTAATTTATCTTCATTGTCTTTTGATTAGTCATTCTGAGAGATGCTCCGAAATGCTTTTTAGAAGAGGCCTCGAATTAAAAACAAATGCACCTAGATCCACGGGGTCCTCTGATATACACACTCATTTCGTCAGTCGTAATAACTAATTCATCATAAGGAACTATATAAAACGATGACTGGTATTAGATTTTACAACGACCGAGTACGAAACCTTAATGATGCGAAAAAGAAATAGGACCGAAATTATTGAAGGACGAGTTATGCATACCTTACAATAAATAAAACATGATGGTGTAATCTCAGATCCTAAAATACCCTGACTATATGAACAAAATAAAATGCATAGGTTGGGAATACCTCTTCATTTTAACTAGATATGATTGATTCACAATGATACTTATTTACACAGTGGATAACTCAATTGTTGAATTAAGTCTAAAATAGATGTTCTCTGCACGACAGATTTTCGTTATATGTAAGTAGTAAGTAAACTGTAAACGTTATTTTCTCATAGTAGATCGCTTACGGAAGAGGTTTTTCAATGACTTATTCATAATAAGTAACAGTAAGCCCGGTTTACAAAAGATATTCGAGTAACTTATAGTCGCCATCAATTATTTAAGTCTGTAATGAAAAATGAATGCCTACACTAGATCTCTTTTTTCATGGTCCACTTACTAGAATAAATGATGTTACACTGAAAGGCTCCATAAAAAACTGACTTCATTGTCAGCTTACGATAATAAGGAGGGAAACCATCAACTGATTTTCAGTGTTCATCCTATTGTAAAATTTATCCAGTAAGCGGCTTGAAGCCTGAAAAAACCATTCTAAAATCACCTTTTCAAGAAAATCCTACACTCCTTACCATTTGCTGAGTAAAGTATGCTACGAAAAAAGTTTCGAAAGACTAAATATTGTGTTCCATAGGCTTAGGATTCAAGCAAAATACTAATGGTAGCACCAGTAAAAATCGTTCTCCGCATAACACTCGATAACCACCCTTCATACGACTCCGCATGACAGGTTAGTTATCATAACTGACTGATTATACATGTACCGTGTTAAATTTATCCCACCGTTTGGATGGAAAATATGGAATTATGTTTTAGGTAGTTATCCGATACACAATTATTTAAAAATGTAAACAACCCTTCAAAGAACAAACGTCTCATTCAGA